ATTTTTTTTACTGTTTTTATAATGTCACTTTCGTTAAAGTGATGTATGTAAACTCCAGAATATTTTCATGGAGTCCAATCTTTGCGAGGTATAGTACTTATGCATTTTTTTCGCATTTCATCATTTTTTTGGGAATAAAAATATAGACATACTTGTACTTACATTTTAAAGATGATTTATAATTTGAATTGCAACTGGGAACACAACGACGAGAGGCATTTTGTTAAGAAATAAACAAGAAAATTTACAACTAAAACACACAATCTGACCTAAAACATTTTCACTTCTTTCACATAATAGTTCTGCAATTAAAAACTGCATCCAAAGGTATTAATCACTATAACACACTATAATCATCCTTATTGCACATTTACTGCACGATATTTCCGCTAAAATTAAAATATTTTAGAACAACGAAAAAAACAACAACCGGTGTATTAGTTGTAACTCTCATTAACTGGGAAATCCTGGGACTCCCACAGTGTTGCCAAGTAAACCTTCAGCATGGCTTGTAAGTAGAGACGGCTGTGGTATAACACATATGCATGTATATCACCTAAAATTGTCAATTACACTAAAAAAATTTTTTTAACATATAACAAGAATAAAATTGTCAAATGTGGAATTAAAAAAATAAGTTTTACAAAGCCCGTACGTTTGAGGGGAATATAGATCCGCAGCCCTCCAGAAATTTCAATTTGATGTTTAGTAAATAATTTCCAATTTAATTTTTTTTAAAATTAGCACCCCAAGGCAATTTGCCGAGAGATTGTGGTAATTCCTTTTTTTTACAAATTACTAATTTTTCAGATCATAAAAAAATACCAATATAAAAAGATACAACAACTAACAAAGAAAATTTTGATTTCAATTTTCCATATGGCCTTTTTTGAGTCTCCCCATACACCGTTGAATTGTTCTTACTTACAGAACATCCTGTATATAAAAAAGATGAGCATTCGTTTCCCTAACTTACCTAATTATCTGTAGGTGCATGTAAGCAACTATTTGTTGGTAAATAATCAAATTAAAATCGTTATTAGCCTTAGCAGCAGTGTATCGGTTTGGTAAAATTATATTCATTTTCCATGTTTAATTAAAGCTTCCGCTTCAATTGGCGATATCGCAATTAGCAAACTCGTACATGCATATATTTATGCACCTAACATGTAAAAAGTATACAAATTTTCCCGGCGCTAATTCCAGAATAAGAAACATTAATTAGTTTACAACAATATGCGGTCGATTGCGAAATATTCATTACCACAAAATTAGTTTCATTTGATAAAAACAACCACAATATCCCGCAAAAACAATCTCTATCCAAAATGACCAAGAAGTACAAATAATTAATGTTTAAATAAGTAATCATTGACGCAATACACCGATTGTTTGAACAATTCCTTATTTATTAAGCACAACAACAAAAACAATTGACTGGTGACCCCAATTGTTCCTAATTAAATTGCTTTTTTAAACAAAAGAAGTATCATTTACATGAACAGATTAAATTTTGGAAACTTTACGAAAATAAAACAATCTATAATCGATTAGCAAATAAACAATGGAGAAATTTCCTACCTGTACATCGAAGTTGTGCTGCTGTTGCTGCAGTACGGCACTGTCGACCTGGTGGGGTTGTGGTGGCGGTGCATATTGGGGTGGTTGCTGGTCGTAGGGTGCTTGTGGGCCTTGATCGGCAAAATGTTCGAAATGCTGATTAACGGACTCGGCGAGTGTAACACCGAGATGTGGGGCTAAATGAGGAGGCAGCTGCTGAAGATGCGGAGGCAATTGTTCTTGCGGTTTAAGTATCACGACCCCAGGATCTAGGGGCGCAAGGCCGTTTTTGGCAAGCTCCTCTTCGGCAGGAGAGGGCTGCCTACTCCCAGGCGTTCTGCTGTAACAACAACACAAACATTTCTTTTGATAACGGGTTTACATCGAACCTGTCAAGTTTAGTACTATTGATTAAACATTAACAAAAGAAAAAACGGCAGGGTTACCCTAAATTTGCAGTGAAATGGCAAATTTAATAGTATTTACCAATATGCATAATTTCTAGTACATAAGATACAACGAAGTCGAGCGAGATACAGAAGAAGGTGAACAACACCACAAAACAATAATTATTTAACACCATCACGCCTGTCTCTTTTATGTTTTTTAGCATAAATTCGTACAAAATCAGCCATTATTGTACCTATTGAATTAAACATTAACGAATGCATGAAATACTTACTTTAGCCTTGTTGAAGACAACATTGCGTTAATGTTATAGTTTTTTTTATCTTCGCTGATCATATTTACGTATATAAAAACGTCAGGTAAAATAAACAATTTAAGGAGATTAGCTCTAAAGAATTCTTAAAGAATTACCAATTTAAATAATCTTCAACTCACTTTGGGTTCATCATTTTGATAAGCAATTTAAATTGCAGATAATGTTAAAAAATTATAACAAAAAAGCATTTCTCAAAAAAGGTACATAAAGGCATATCACATTACAATGAAAAGAAATATACCGCTACAGTTCATGGAACTTAAAATTTATACATTAGAATAACTCTTAGAAATAGACACTGCCGCCCTCTATGAGGAACTAAATGTACAATATTTTCTGCAGTTATTACAGTTCCCTCAAAACTGAATTTTTTAAAAGTAATTAAAATAATGCTGCACTTTGCGGACGCAAAACAATAATAAATTAGCAATTGTAACCTAGTAATTACATTCCTTTACAATAATATGCAATTTCTAGTTCAATATTGAATAATAAATTTGTATGGTATTACCGCTACTGCCCGAGAGATGGCGCGAGTAGCATGAACCGGTCCAATTTTAACGAACAAGCCACGCGATAAAAGTTAGCGTCTGGGATAGTGGGAAACCGTCACCTTGACAACCGTCGGCGTCGTCCAACCAACGCACACATCGAGTCATTGACTCATTCCAAGGTAGAGGCAAAGCCTTGAGCTGAGTCAGCGGCTTTTCTATTTGAGATTGAGATTATGTGCGACGCGTAACATGGTATATCTTATATGTTGCACCAAAAGTGCACACGCATAATAGTATGCACGATTTACGTATGTTGTTCTATACAATGAACTTTCGAACAAATTTAAAATGGACCAAAAAAATTTACTTATTAATATTTATGTATTTATATTATTATGGCATCGTCATGCAAATTATGTAGAATGACTACCGACAATACAAGAACGTTAGTTGTATGTATATCGTTTGCTTTCTTTGCGATTGTTTTACTGGGAAACATATGATAACGCGAAAAACACGGAAAGGCCTTGAATCGATCTCAAAGTAACCACTTAAAACGAGCTATTATTAAATGTTCAGTTTTGAACTATCTATGTGCAGGAATTTCTGTCTCTTATTCACAAACATTAATGAAAGACACAATTCTAAGAAATCCTTATCTCTTAAAAACTACATTTATGTATAGTAGCAGTGTAGTCAACCAATTTCAGGCATAAAACAAATTAAATCAATTATCTACATAGGTAAATGAATGAACATTTATACTATAAGTAAATTTACAAAATTCCGTAAAGAAAAACAACTTATAGAATAGAAAGAGAAAAAATACTTAATAAAAATCGCTGACTAGGGTTATAACATATTCCTAGCTAGTTTATATTATTTGGTATACTTATGTTAACAAAGTTACTTCCAACAGATATCGCAAACAATTGCACTATTAGATAACAAAATGCAACTGACGCATTCTGTGTACGTGCATGTTTCCCCTGCTGCAGCTGTCACAATTTCACATNATTACAGCATTCTATGTCTTAAATGACATTTAAATAGTCACGCGCTAAAAAAAAGGCAGTTATTATACACCGATTTTATTAAAAAAATATTATGTGAATTTTCAGCATTTTTACTTTAACTTGACTACGCCCCTGACTGAAGTGAGTATTTCTGTACATTTTTAAGCACTATCTCGATGACACAATTAAAAAAAAAAACAATATGACACTTTCACCCTCAACATATGCCCCATTCTTCTAGTAGGAAGCCTATTCAGAAACGTATCGCCACCCCCTTTGTTATCTGAGCATTTTACAGTAACATTCGTCCCATATTCCAAGTGACGTTGAAATCTCTTGAGCAGTTCTTACAACTGTAGTTCAGCCGAATTTTCATTTATAGAGAAATGACAAGTTGTATATCCTCTCCCCTCATGATACATTAAGTTTTTTTAATAAGAAGCATCCAGTAAGGAGGTTAAATGTTCTTAATTGATCATGTAATCTCCACCGACGTCTCGCCTTTCTATCTAAGGGATATTAACATCCTGTATTTATAACAAATGTATTGTAGCCTTGATAAAACCTTAGATCGAAAGGCAAAACGTCGGTGGAGATTACGTAATCAATAAAGAACACTTCATTCCTTATTGATTGCTTCTATTTAAACCAATCTAAATAAGTTGTGTACGNATTTCATGAACACAAAATTCATGATACGAATTAGTACTTAGGTCACCCAAACGAGGTTAAGGGGATAATGTTTGTCCTTTTTGGTAAGACAAAAAAGCGAACTACAATCCTTACTTTCAAGATGGCGACTAAATGAGGACAAGGTTACACCCCCTATATTTTATTATTAATTGACTAACCTGTTTTGATAATGTCAAAATCTCAATGCGACGATGTGGCCCTAATTAGATCATGTTTGGATAATAGAAGAGGTGACGTTTCTAATCACGCAAACAGTCCACAAAAAACAGGGAGTAGATACAGAGAGTGAATTTGTCGCATTTTTTTTTTTATTAAATTACGTCGTCGAGATAGTGGTCGAAAATTTAGAGGAATGTAGACCTCGGTGTACATAATTGAATTTCAGAAGGACGGATACGTGAGTTGGAAAAAAACGGTGTAACGGACAGGGATGAAGTAGAAAAGCCTTACATACGAGGNGCCGGAAACTTATCAATCCACCCTCGTACATATGTGTTTAAAAAGAAAACATGAAATTTTTAGATTTGTTCTTAGAAATTCGGAAAAAGTTTTAGACGAAAGTTGCAAGATTCTGAAGGGGAAATCGATTGGTGACCTTAATCTTCGAAGTCATTTGAAGGTCAAGTCTTTTGTTACAACTCGTATGTCTACCCTTCCAGAGTACAATATATCTGAAAAATGTGAGAAACGATTGTTGCCACAGACAGACAACGCAATAGAAGCAACAAGAAGCAATGTTTTACAAAGTTGATTGATAAACTACAAAAAACAAACAGTAGCCTGGATCACCCCTGCCTACGTTCTCTTCTCTGAAAAGTTTCATCGAAATCAATTCAATCGTTTAGTCCGTACAGATTGACAAAACATTTTTTAAAAGTATTGTAGAGAGCACGAGTGTTTGTGTGCGATCGGGCACACGTATGCGTGAACGGCCTATCGATTCGCCGACTAGCCGCGGGCGCCTTTCTTCATGTGCGCCATATTTGTAAATGTGTGAGTTGTACCTGCGTTCTGGGAAAGCAGTTAAACAGTTCAAAGAAAAAATAAACTATCCGGATGTTTCCAGAAGGTTCCAGAAAGTAAACAAAAGAGTATTTAAAGGAAAGACGATCGCCGAGAGCCGAGATAATCAGAAATAAATTGACCGTTGCAGAAGTAAATCCAGAAATAAATTGACAGTGAGAGCAGTGAAATAAATAGCGCACCGAATAGTGATATTTCAACAGAAGTGTAAATAAACAGAATAATTCATAACCTAAGTTTAGTAATAATTTAATAGTGTTTTTAAGTTCTTTAATAATTAGGATAAATAAATAGTTTTTGTCGTTAACACTCTTAGAAGTTAATTTTGTTAAACCCACGAACATTACCATATATACTACATATATATATATACATAATATCTATATGTGATGGTGACAATAATTTGGTACCCACCTAAACAATGGAATTAGGTGTTGCTTTTGTGTTTAGAATGGATCATTATCTAACGTTTTTTTTTTCCATTAGTAGTGTCAAGTTTAACCTTCAGTTCGCAAAAAAGACATACTCAAAACAAGTAGAAGTATGTCATGGCCACGTCGCGATCATTTAAATGCCCTCCATACTGTTCGCTGGACTGTTCGTTAACGGATAGACTAAACTACCTACCTAGACTTTAATTATCGTTCGTTTACTTTTTGTATCGACATCATGGTTCACCTTTTACGGCAATACTTCATTACATAATGGACGCTGTAAAAGCAAAAGTACACAA